AGGAGTTATTTCCTACTTATGTGCCATGTTTTTGGTAAACTTGCTAATGATTTATAATGGAATAGTACAAAGTAATGTACTTTTAATATGCATTTATGCCAGGTATTTAGCCCAGTGGTTCTACTGCAAGCACAAGGACCCAAGTTCAATCCTGGTACCCCCCCCAAAAAAAAATTGTGTGTGTGTGTGTGTGTGTGTGTGTACATACATATACATATGCATTATATTTTACTTCTTAGTTACTCATACCATTAGGAAGATAGACTTAAATTTTTATCAACCTACTTGTCTTATGAACACAAAAATTTAGAAATTAATCTTTATAGTACTTTTTAACACTTTTAAAATGATTTTCCTATATTTAAAAAAAAACCTTACATATGATTTTTGTTGCGATTTTGAGGCATTGTCATGATTTCTTTATTTTATCAATGGTTTGGCTCTAGGACATGATCATTTTTTTGTTGTTGTTGTTGTTTTTTTGTTTTTTGTTTTTTTTGAGACAGGGTCTCACTGTGTAGTTGAGACTGACCTGGAACTCACTGTGTAGCCCAGTCTGGTCTCGAGCTCACAGCGATCCTCCTGCCTCAGCCTCCCGAGTGCTGGGATGACAGGCATGCACCACCACGCCTGGCTCTATAAAGATCATATTTAATTTGATCATATAATTAAAAACTAGAGCGTCATCTAAGAGCAAAGTTTTTATTGTTGGTTTTTGGCCTGGCCCTTAGTCTAGGATTTCTGAAGGTCTTTTCTTTTTTGGTGCGAGTAGGAGTATTTACATATGGGTAATGCCGAGTGGGTGGAGCTGCTTTTGTATTTACACTTGATCTTAGCCAAAAGGCGGAGAAGTGATTGCTCGTGTGTTTAAAAAATGGTGACAAAATATTTTTTATAATAAATGAAATCAAGCTCTCTAAATTATTTGTCATTGTGAGATTAATAAGCATTGTATCAGAAAAATACAATAGTACTTTATTAGGAAATCTGATCAGAGGATCCTGTATATACATAACTAGTAAGATGCAGAAATTTAGAGAAACGTCAATAAAAAACTTTGATTTTTGCTTATAAAAATTAATTTACTACACATTTTCGGATTGTTTAAAGTTTGCTTTCATAGATATTATTTGGAGTTTTATGACTTAAGAGATTAGAATCTTTGGAATGAAGTAATATGTCTGAAATTTTGCTTATGTATATGAAATGGAGATGCCATCTGTTCATTTTGAGGTAGATAATGGTGGGGAAAATGAGTGAGAAAAGCATTTAAAAATGTTAAGGCTCTCTCACTTAAGCTACTAAAAGATCTCTCCTTTGCCAAGTCATATAATGTATTTTATTTCAACATTTAATTGTATAAAATAATTAATTATTCCTGTGTTGAAAGGTAAGATAAAAGGCAATAGATGCTCATATCTTGGTGTCTGATTTTCATTCCCGATCCACAGCATTAGTGTTGTGCCATTTAATTATATTGTTCCTTTTTTGAAATCTAATCTGTATGTTGACACAAATGCAGAATAAATGAGAAAATCTGGCATGTCTGTGAATGTTTTGTTGTGTAATATGTGCTTTTCTTAATTGTTTTTAACATGCAGTTAGGATAATTTGTTATAATGGCTCACCACAGCATATTAAGTAAAATTAACTTACAGCATTTTATCATGGTTAGTGTTGTGCATTTTTCTACCATTTGTATTACATAATTTGTGATACAATCTGATAAAATACAGCCTAAGGACTGTTGGGCTTCTTTGATGCTTCATGGGGGATATAAGGATATCAAACATAAAAGTGACTGTTTTAAATTTCATGCTACCCAGTAACCCTGTAACCCCCCCCCACCCTTTAGTGATGCTGAGGATTAAAACCCAGGGATATGAGCATGCTAGGCAGGTGCTTATATCATTGAGCTGCACCTCCAGGACCCTTGTGCAAAACCTTACCAAAGGGTTCCCTGAGAATTAATGAACTACACTGGATTTCTCAACAAATACTGAGTTCCTATGCATGACAGGCATAGTGCTAGGTACTAAAAATACAAAAGTAATAATGTTTGTGACCTCAATCTGCTGTTGCACTAGAGGCTGGATAGCTACTTATCTGGCAAAGGAGTCTTAGTAGGAAATTTAGACATCAGATGATCCTTAAGAGATTTCCTTAGAACCCTTGTTTGTGATTCTGTTAGTGGATCGGCAGGAGAACAGAAAGTAAAATAAGGAATAGCAATTAAAAGAGAGATATTTAAAAATATACTAGCAGTTATTTAAAATGGTATTTAAAGTTTAGAGACATAGAAGTGAAGAGACAATCATTGTGAAGAGAAATAAAACTCACAAATCAAACTACAGTTTTGAACTTGATTAAAAATTTTGTTTTCAAGTCACGATCTTTGCCTGGAAAAGCTTAGAAATTGCTGTTCTTAAGATTTGATATTTCAGTATGTATAGTAGAAAAAACTTAAATTTATAAATCCATTTTAATAATTTTAAAAATTCAGGGAATGATTTATTAGTGCATTTAGAATTGTTTCAGATATAGGACTGATTTATAGAAGAGCCTTGTTTTTTAAATGAGCTTAGCACATGAATTCTAGAAAACATTCTTGTTTAATTAAAAATGACCTTATATTTCATTTGATTTATTAGATTATCTTACCTGTGTCATTAATACCTCTTTTATCATACAGGTTTGGAGTTAATATTTTGCCCACTGTGATTTTTTAATACTTAAATATTTTTAAATTCTAAAATATTTAAAATAATTTTGAATCTTAAGTGGTATGCAGATCATAATTGATCTATGTCACGTTGACTAAAGACTTCTTCCACACCAGTTACTATACTCTTAGGGAATTGGGGACCTTTGAGATATATTAAATTATTTTTCCTGGTCTTTGTCAAGGCTCTCTGATTGCCATGCTTTTTGATGCAGTTTTTATCTTCATCTTCTTGTATTCTCCTTTCTCCTTAGGCTGTCAGCTGTCAAAGAGCATTTGTCATTTGGTGTTTGTTGCTAGAAGTCAGTTCCTTTAAACTCATTTACTGCTAGAACTAAGCCTTAGGCTGAAGAAACTGTGTAAACAAGTGATTGACTTTATAAATAAGCAGTTGAATTTGCCCAGCTTCTGAATATTATTCCAGAATTGTGATACATATTTGAATCTTTATAATATTTGACAAGGAATGTGAGCTTTAAAAAAACGGCCCTTGTATATAATGGATGGGCCCTTACTCTTAAGTTCTTTTAGAATACTGCTTTTCCCTGTAATTTTGCTAATATTCTTTCAAATTCCTTGCCTAGTAGTTCTTTACAAAAATGTAGATCTTCTACCAATATGAGTTACCATAGTTTTGATTTTGGCTTTTTCCTGGCTTTGTTATCTCCTGACTGATCAAATTGGGTGATGTGTGACCTAGAGTTGCTTCTTTTGTTTTCAGCCTGTTTTGTTGAGGGCACTGGGCTGCTTGTCAGGTTTCTTCACTTACATCAGTCCTGTATTAGCAGGATGTCCCTGATCACACCATGGACAGTTCAAAATCACTTGTGCTTTTATTTATTTATTTATTTATGTATTTATTGGTACCAGGGATTGAACTCAGGACCTTGTGCTTGTGAGGGAGGCAGCAGAACCACTGAGCTAAATCCCCAGCCCACATTGTGCTTTCATTATAATTGTTTAAGATCCTTCCCTTTCCCTTTTCCTTTCCCTTTCTTAACAACCTAGACATCTGGCAAACAGCTTTATTATTCTTAGTATTTAGTGGCTATCTCTTAATAGGTTTTTATTCTTTTGTGGTGCTAGGGATTGAGCCTAGAGCCTCACTCTTGCTAGGCAATTACAGTACCACTGAACTATACCTCTGGCTCCTGTTCATTCACTGTTGAATGAAGTTATCATTTTCCACACATTTTGCTTTGTTGCAGATGCGATTGAAGCCTCTCAGAGGAATATTGGATTTTCTTCAGAGGAAAAGTTTCAGAAAAATACCCTGCTGTTCATTTTGACTTTACTAATGCATTCCCAATTCCATTTTTTTACTGTACCGGATTTGTCTGTAACCTCATTTGTTCTTCATCATAACCATGCCATCTTTCCTTTACCTCTTCTATCAGTGACTCTTGCCTTTTAAAATGTATTCTCTTCCCCAAAGAGCAAGGTCATTATTATAATGTAAAAAATGGGAGGGGAGGAAAAGAGGGCAAAACAGACTGTAAAGCAAACCAAAATAAGGGAGAAGTTGGTACCTATATTCACCTTTTCCCTTAATTTTGAACCTCATTTGGTTTTTTAAATCTCTGAAATGGAGATAATTGATAACCTACGCAGTGGAGAGGTATTTTTTAAAATTAAGCAGGATATATACAATTTTTAGTAGGTATATGCTCATTAAGTCACCAACATCTCTCATCATTTTCTTTTATTTACTGGTGTAGCTCATCCTTCAGCACTAAAAAAGCTAGCGAAACAACTTTTTACATTTCTGAGGAAATAATTGTTTACTGTTAACAAACAGTGGTTTTGGGTTTAGCTTCCCAAAGTACTTACTGCTGTAGAATATTATATAGTTAATATTCTAGGAATACCGTAAGGGTAGGACAGTCTAATTCATTATAAGAGCAAAATAAGACTCAGGTTCCCAGTGTTGTGCAGAGTACAATTTCATAAGTATGAAACTTGATAAAATAATTTCTGATAACATATATACTGAAACTTCCTGTGATAGGATAGTTCATGTAGCAGTCTCTTTGAGTTTCAGGGGACTAGATATGGTACTTTTAAAGAAAGACCGCCTTTTAGTACATGGCTCTTAAAAACATTAACTCTTCTTTACCCAGTGGTGATAAAATGAACTGTCATTGGTAGAGCATTTGCCTGACCTTCATGAGGCTTTGGGTTTGATTTCTAGCACAGCCAAAATAAAACAAACCCCAGACAAACAAACAAATCTTACATTTTCCACTTGATAAACTTTGCCCTATACCTTTTTCTACAGACTGATACATCACCAGGACTGGAGTTGCAGTCATGGTATCCTGTTATAAAGCAGGAAGGTGAACATATTTCTCAGACACATTCATTTTTACACCCCAGGTAAGTGTTACTCATTTGTTTGTTTATCCATTCATTCCTTGTTTGTTTATTCATTCATGTATTCATTTATTAGCTACCTGCTAAACACTATTCTAGGTATTAGGAATTTACTATTTTTATGCCTTCTTGTTAATATATTTAAAAAATTTGAAACTTTTTAAACAATAACTTTGGGATTTTGTATCTCACTTATATTTGTCATTATGGGGATATTGTAAGGATTGTATATTGCTTAATTAATAAAAATTTGATGACTCTAAAATGAAATGAAGTGTAAATTGTATTTAATATTTGACATAACCTACTTGGTATTTCTATGATTTTTCTTTAAATAAATGACTTCCTTTCCTACTCATAAGTAAAAATGAAAGTTTTCCTTTGAAAACTTGAAGAGGTAAATCAGTTCTTTAATGGTTTGGTGTGTAACTTTGATAGTTCTAAAAAATTCTTTTGGAACTTTGAGATTTTATAATAATCACACTTCTCAAAAGCAAGTTTTCGTTATTTTCAATAAAGCCATACATAAATGTTTTTAGATCTTTATCTTCTGCTTTAAATGTAATCTCCCTCAAGTATGATGATGAACAGTCAGTATAATTTACAGTTGCACAAAAATCACTGTTATATGTATTAAACTTGAAGTAAGTCATTTGGGTACTATGAAACCTATCAGTTTTCTTTTTTGTGCAGAATCTGAGTTCATGAGATAGAGGAGCAACATAGCTGTTCTATACAAAGAAAACAAGATAGGAGATCGATTATCTGATGTTTAGGTGATGAAGTATTAACTGATTGCATCTTTTCACTAAGGGCTACTAAGATTATAGTTAAAATGTGTTATTTAAATATCTAGCTCAAATTTGTTCTCTGAGCCTTGCAGATAATCTGTTGAACAATCTTACATTAGCTTTGAGCAAAATTGGTAGTTATCTTTTCAATCTTGATTTTGCCCAATTTGTTGTTCTGTTTTATTAAGTAGAAAGTACTGAAGTATTAAAGTAAGATTGCTCTGTGGAGTTTGATACAAGAAGAACTGCTTGGTAGCTGGGGTGTGTTCACACATTGTGTTCTTTCTGTGAATTGTGTAAGAAAGCTCTTGGAGCTCCTCATTGGTCTGTCACTAATCAGGCCGGGGCCATGCAGTGGGTGACTAAAGCAGCCTCACCTAGCAAAGAGCAAGTGTCCCTTGCTTTGGAGGTTGAAAACAGGCCTTCAAAGTAATATATGGCCTCTTCACCCTCTGGAATAAATCTTACCTGCTCAGAGCTATTAGAGTTCTACTAAGTGCTGCTTGCTTTTTTCTCCTTCAGGTGGTTTTGAGGGAAGGAGAGACTTAATTTTTTATCTGTGTCTTTTTAGTACTCAGAAATGATTTGCCAAATAATAAAAATTCCTCATAATTTTGCTCTTATTGCCTGAAGTACTTATTTTTATAAGAACTCTTTTTCTGCTGACCTTATTTTCCAAGTTATTTTGTCTGGCTAAAAAACTGAGTTCAGCTGTGGAAATATGTCACATCTTTTGATTTTTCTACCTAAAATAATATGTAATATATGTCTTTATTTTCCTTTCTTTGTTTTCAGCTATTACTTATACATGTGTGATAAAGTAGTTGCCCCAAATGTGTCACTTACTTCTGCTGTATCCCAGTCTAAAGAGGTCACAAAAACAGAGGCAAGTAAATTTGTATCAAGATCGTCAGAAAAGCCTCATAGTAGTAGTAAACATCAAAAAACAGTGTCTTATCCAGATGTGTCACTTGAAGAACAAGAGAAAATGGATTTAAAAACAAGTAGAGAATTATACAGCCACTTAAGTAAGTATTCAAAAATTATATTTTAAAAATCAGATATTAACACATTCATGCAGTATTTTGAAGGTTTTTAATTTAAGCTAATTTCTTACACAATTGAAACTTTTACCTTAAAAAAGTCACGTTTCAAAACAAGATGTTTCTTTGAACTTTAATTACTGTACTTTTCTAGAATAGTGCTAACTATGAAATATATATATATATATAAATATATATGTGCATACATTTTTTTAAAACATGGTTTCACACTGCAAGTGATTTTTTTGGATGTTTTTCCTTCCTCTCTTTTGTTGCTGTTACATTTCTTCATTTAGGTTCCCATTTTTAATTTGCTGTGAACTGAAAAACAATGTCACTAATGTTGATAAGTATGCATAAGGAAAAGTAGGTGTAAATCTCAGGGAAATTAAGTCATGGAATAAAGCAATTGATTGAAAGCTCTGGGAACCCATGCAGATTGCATAAATGCAGAATTCTGGCTTATCTGCAAGGAAAAAAGTTGCCTACCTACCATTGCTTTGAAAATACAGTGACCAAATGAGACATGTGCAATATACTCAAGACACTGCCTGTGTTATAGTCCAGGGAGAAGCCCTGCTTTGTTTAGTGCTTAAGCAGTGTGACATTTCCTTTAGCTGCTCTGCAACAGTTAGAGAATTCTCCTTTTTGTAGAGAATTGAGGTTCTTTTTTTCCCCAGTATTGGGGATTGAACTCAGAGCCTTGCTCTTGTGAGGCAGGTGTGGTGCCACTGAGCTAAATCGTGGGCCTGAGAATTTAGATTCTTGAGTATTTTCTATATTTTAAACATTTTAAAAGTCAAGTTCCTCTGTATTTATATATAAGCAATAGTAGTATACAGTTATGCCATATTTACATTGTATTTTATTTCCCAAATTAATTCTGTTGAGTTTTTAAAAATAGTTGATAAAATTCACATACAACAATTTACCGCCCTCCCACCTGCCTTTTGGTACTGGGGATTGAACTCAGGATCTTGGCTTGTGACAGATGGTGAAATCCCCAGCCCAACAATTTACCCCTTTAAAGTGTACATTATTAGTATAATCACAGAGTTGTGCAGCCATGACAACTTTTTAATTCCAGAACATTTTCATCACTCCAAAAGGAAACCCTTATAATCCTTTCATCAGTCACCCATCTTTCTTCTTTTTCCCTAAACTTTGGCCAACACTAACCTATTTTCTGTCTATACATTTGCCTATTTTGGACATTTAATACTAAGAGTTACTTTCACTAAGCCTGATATTTTCTCAATCCATGTTCATATGTTGGTATTTTTCTTTTTATAGCTTACTATTTCATTGTCTAGATATACCTTATTTTCTTTATCCTTTTATCAGTTGATCGATATTTGTAACTGTGTCCATTATTCAAATTTTAGTATGGGGATATATTTTCAGTACTTTTGAGTACATATTCAGGAGTGGAATTGCTAAGTCATATGATAAGTATGTTAACAATTTGAGAGATTATCAAACTTTTCCAAAGCAGCAGTATCATCTTACATTCCCTCTAGTAGTTTAGAAGGGTTTCAGTTTGTGTACATCTTCATTAACACTTGCTATTACTGTCTTTTGAATATAGCCATTGCAGTGATTGTGAAATGATATCTATCTCCTTGTAGCTTTGATTTGTTATTCCCCAGTGACTAATGATGATTGAATATATTTTTATATTTTTCTGGACATTGCATATTTTCTTTGGAGGAAACTTCAGATCTTTGCTTGTTTTAAATTGGATTATCTCTTTACTATTGAGTTGTAAATGTTCTTTATATATTCTGAATAGCAGATTTTATATGTACTGTACCACTGTCAGATATTTACTTACTATCTTCTTAGGGACCCTTGAAGCATTCAAATTTTCAACTTTTTGAAAGTTCCACTAGTGTGTGTTTTCTTTGGTTACTGGCTTCAGAAACATTTATCCAAGACCAGAATCCAAGATCAGAAAGAAACATTTGTATTTAAAGATTTTAGCTCTTACATTGAGGTCTTTGATCCATTTTGAATTTATTTTTATACACAATGTGAGGTTCAGTCTTGTTTTTCATGTGTATAGTTGTCCATTTGTTGAAAAGACTGTTTCTTCCTCATTGCATTATCTTTCCCTCCTAGTCAAAAAACAATTGCCTACAAAACTATAGATGTATTTATTTCAGGACTAAGAATTCTTTTCCATTGATTTAGAGCTTTGTGGTAAGCTTTGAAATTAGGAATTGTGAGTGCCCCAACTTCATTCTTTTTGGCTATTTTGTACTCCTTACATTTCCATATGAATCTTAGAATATGCTTGTTAATTTTGCAAAAAAAATGAGTTAAAATTTGATAGTTGCACTGGATAAGTTGATCATGTAGGGGATATTGCTGTCTTAATATCATTTCTTCAATATGGGTATCTTTCCACGTATTCAGGGTTTTTTTTTTATTCTTTTCAGCAGTGTTTTGTAGTTGTCATTGTATACATCTTCCACTACTTTGTTAAATTTATTTCTAAATATTTTAATTTGATTTGTCAGTGGAATTTTTAAAAATTTCATTTGAGTAGGTCTGGTGACTTAACACTTACTTTCATACTTTTTACTTTTTTTTTTTCCTCAAAGATGCATCAATCTCAAGTAATTCTACAAGTAAAAAAAAATCTGATTCTACCACCTGTGACTTAATAAGAGACACAAGCAAGCATGGTGCTGCACCTTCATCTCTGCTTCTCTTCAAAGATGTTATTTGTGAGGATGATAAGGGAAAGATCATGGAAGAAGTAATGAGAACTTACATAAAACAACAGGAGAAACTGAACTCAATTTTGCAAAAGAAGCAACAACTGCAGATGGTAATATTGTTATCTAAATAATAGTACATTATAAAAGACACTATGGCATATTCAGAGTAAGAAAAGATGAGCAGAAAATGTGCTCTAGGTTATTCAGAGTTTACACTTACAGGCGATTTAAAATACTTATTTTTTGAGTAAATAGTTTTTCAAGATAATTTATCCTTTATAGAACTGACTCATAGCCAAATTTCAGATATTTTCTGACCCATGTTTTTCTGCACTCAGATATTTAATGTGATAAAACTAAAGTAAAAATTGTATTGTAATTTTTTTTAATGTTACAGGAAGTGGAAATGTTGAGTAGCTCAAAAGCTATGAAGGAACTCACTGAGGAACAACAGAATTTACAGAAGGAGCTTGAATCTTTACAGAGTGAACATGCTCAAAGAATGGAAGAGTTTTATGTTGAGCAGAAAGACTTAGAGAAAAAATTGGAGCACGTAATGAAGCAAAAATGTACCTGTGACTCAAATTTAGAAAAAGACAAAGAGGCTGAATATGCAGCACAGGTAAGAATTACTCAATTTGTATAATGCTGCCCTTTCAGTATTGAAATGGAACTGTTACTTCTCTGTTGAAGGAATTAAGATTTGTCAGGCTTATTTTATTAGGCTAATTTTGAATATAATTATGGTAAGCACAAATCTATGCTGTATTGTCTAAGATGATGTTTTGACCTTTGTTATTTTAAACTTTTATTGGGTCTCTGTAATTACTTAACTTGGTAATCACTAGCTACTTGAATATAAAATTTTGTATTATTTTAGGCTAGGAATGTAGCTCGCTAGTAGGGTACTTACTTAGCATGCCTGAGGTCCTGGGCTTGATTGCTCACAGCACAAAATAAATGGATGCATTTTTTAAATATAAATTTTGATATTTTGATTTAGTATACAGGCTTTCAAGCCCCAAAATTAACAAACGAGCTCTTGTCCGCAGTATTCAGAAGTACTGCAGGTAAAATAAACAATTTTTATTAGTAGTAGGTCACGATTGAGAGATGAACAAATCACTAATATGAGCAGGCTACAGCCTTTAATGAGAGGTATAGTGTAGATCATAATGAAAGTGCTATAGATGTTTATTCCTCTTGATTCTTTGCATTTGTCTCAATTTGATGTTATGTCAAAATGTCAAGTGAAAAGTAGTGGACATTCAAGGGATTGTAGAATACATGAAATAATTCATTTTGTAAAAAGTAATTTTAAAGTAGGTTTTGCCCTGGTAGAATTAAATGGGAAAAGAAAATTGAATGAAAACTAACACAGCCTTTTAAATCACACAGTTGGCAGAACTGAGACAGAGATTGGACCATGCCGAGGCTGATAGACAGGAACTCCAAGATGAACTGAGACAGGAGCGGGAGGCAAGACAGAAGTTAGAGATGATGATAACAGAGCTAAAACTTCAAATTTTGAAATCATCAAAGACTGCTAAAGAATAGAAACTGTTAAAGAGATTCATCCATGTATTACAGGGTTTATTTGTTGCTTGCTTTGGTGATTGAATCCTGAATATCTTATTTGCATGAAGATAACTGTGCATTCTGTCCATTTGTAGATCAAGGAAAGTGAAGAGATTATATATTAGTACATAAATTTTTACATTTTCCAAATGAATGAAAATGTATGTTTCTTTGTACATTTCTGTCCCCGGTCAGCTTGGTAACTAACAGTAGTATATGGTTTCAACCAATAAATAATTACCTATATTTCTAATGCAAATTTAATACTTATATACCTTTTAAAAGCTGCATTATGTGGTGGATAGTGGCTCTGGACACTTTTGTTATACATATTTCAGATTCAATTTTAGATACAATAGTGGCATCATAATTCAAATGTGTAGCATAAAGCTACCCATGGAGTATGTCTTCATTTTTTTCAACATGATCTACTTCTCATTATTATACACAGAATTTGCTTTTACTTTGTTCAGATTGTGGAATGAATTCCCACCAGTTTTCCTCCTTTCAATGTCTCCTAAGAGAGATTTCATTGATGAAGTCATAGCACACCCCATGGACACAGAGGGGAAGGATTGACATGCTTTGTCATTCATTGCTGCTAAACACAAAAAGCAGTTGTAATTTGTCTTTTAGTTTAAGTGTGGTTGTATTTAGGATTTTTTGCAGTGAATTCAGAAAATTAATTTCTGAACTGTTAGAAATGTCTGAAATGTTAGTGGTGTGAAAATATTAATGTTCTTGAGAAAAACTGATTCCATTGATGTATATTAGTTTCTATATAGACCATAATCCTCCTGTACAGTTTTTATATGTAGTTATGGGTCTTCCTGAAATTTATATAATGGATTTGTTCTCCTTTAAATTATAAAATATTAAACAGCTTAAAGTTACTTTGGACTTTTGTATATTTAAATGTTACCAAAATTTGCACAAATGGACCATTTTCAATTACACTTTAGTATCAAAAGTCAGGAATTTATAATCAATAGATAGAGTTTGATTGGTTAATATAGGGTAGTTTAATTATTTGCTTCTCAAAGGTTTTTAGATAAGTTTTAGATGGCAAAAGAATTACACAGTTTGGGGAAGGGTAACATCTACACTTTTTTTTTCTGCACAGAAAAGTTATTTTAAATAGAAAATTTCACATTTGTTCATTCTTAGCTTAAAAGTTAGGTAAAATTCTCAGTATGCATCTTTTTAAAGGAAGTTTCCTGAAACTGCCATTGATAATATTCTATGAATTTTGTTCTCATGTTCTTATAAGGTACTATCTGAAATTCCTTAAGCTATTTTATTTAAAACATAATTTTGTTAAAGTTTAATACTGTTTGCGTCATTTTGAAGGTGGATACTCTCATGGTATAGAACTTCAGAACTCTTAGATTATCATCTAAGTGGTAATTTTCATATTTTGCTTAATGGTACTCACATATCCCCCCCGAAAATTTGTACTTCCCAAAGTGCAGTTTCTTTAAACATAGTGTGATCTAATATGTTTTTTGCATTTAAACTTTATTAACCCTGTAATCAAATTTGTTGATTCTTGAGTTTCCACAAGGGTGGACAGATATTAAAATAACATGGAAAAGCAAATGTTTAAAATGATGTATTTTTCCCAGTGCCATTTATTTAGATCAGGGCAAGGAAAATTACAGACTTTTATGATATAGTTTTGTTTTAGTTGTTAAGTTAATTATGTCACGTCAGCTTTTTTGGGAGACAAACTCAAGCACCTATAATTTCATTTATTTTTCTAATTTGCTTAAATGCTTTCTGCTTATTTTATTTAGTAAATGGTAAGCTTACCTAGGTTTCAACCCAAAATGTCTAAAACAAATTGCTTTATTTTTGAAATACGTTATTTTAGAATTCTTAACTGGTCCTTAAACACCATTATTTATAAAGCCTTGATTTAGAATTGGCTAAAGAAAAATTTTTTTTTCTAATCTTCACGTAATAAAAACTCATCACATGACACTGTATAGTCTTCATTTTCTAGAAGATATGTTGATGTGCCATAGGTTTTTAACTTCGTTGAAAATAGTTTTTTAGTCAATTGTAAATATTACTGTTAAAAGTACTTTAAGTTAAATTGTACCACATATAGCTTGAAAACAATATAGAGATTTTGTAATACTTTAAAAAATGACCTGTGCTTAAAGTCTTACCCTTATTCTGTTCATTGCATGCTCATTTTATGTACTGGTTGCTAATTTAAAGTTTGTTTTGATGTAAGTTTTTATGTGCCAAGTTCACTAGGCAGGCAGAATTTTCCCTCAGACTTCATAATACTATTTTTAGGAAAAACAAAATCATTTACTCCAAAAAGCTGCAGTAAAGGAACAGCTTATAGATTTGCTAGAGCATCTTTAGAAAGAAGAACATTAGCTTACTAGGTGATGGATGATGTTGAATTGGGTGGTCATAGTTTCTGTAGTTTAAACTAATAAACCAAATCTTTAAAGGTAGTAAATATAAAACCTGCTGTCATTGAGGAAGCTCTTAAAAACCACACAAATTTTACAAATGCAACCTTTAATGCTATGAAAAGATTTTACCAGCAACTTAAATTTGGCTTGTGCTTTAATTTCTGTAAAATGTGTTCTTTTGCTTGGCATTTCTTGTGTCTGGGAGAATTATGATGTTTTATGCTTCTTGAAGTAATTTTATGACATATTTAATATATTACTAGTTTAGATGTAAAATCATTTGTAAATATTGAAGTTTAAAGCAGTTATTAAAGTAGGTAAAATAAACCAAGTTCTGTGATATTTGCAGGTTATCCATATCTTTTATTTTTTATTTGTTTTGTTGTGTTTTTTGATACCAGGGATTGAACTCTGTTCCTTGCACTTGTGAGGCAGGCAGCAGGACCACTGAGCTAAATCCCCGGCCGTATCCATATCTTTTAGAAGTCAACAACAGTTTTTGTTTTCACATCAGTGATTTTTGTTTGAAAGAAAATAAAATGAAAGGAAACGCTAATGTAAGACACGCTTATGATATTTCCCTAGAATAAATTGCAAAGTTAGTACTGAAGGTCTTTGATCAGCTTCTGAAATTTGCTTCTCAAAGATAAGGCTTGTGTTTTGATTGTTTAGGGAAGAATACTCATTTTTATTTGCCCTTTATTCATTTAATCCACATGACATTAAAAATTAATATGAAAAATTGTGCTCATACTGTACATCTGTTTCTGTGCTTGGAACTACTTGTTAATAGTTTTTATTGATGCTGGCAGCAATAAGGGACATATAACTGCTGTATTATATGTTGTGGAATTGAATAATTTAAACAAAATAAAATTTTTTCTCTATATAGGATACTTAAGCATTTCCACTATTGGAAGAAAAGCATATGGTTATTTTATGTTGCATTTTGTCTAAAAGGACAGTTCTTGTTTTTTGAAAATCTTTCCACTTAAATGGCTTCTAAACTATATAGTGCAATTTGGAGCCTGTTTAGGAATAGAATTAAATGTCTTATATAGTGCTACTGTTTTTTAATTAGAAAGTGATTAAATGTAAAAACAAATTTAAAAATTAAGCCCAGAAAATAAAATAGCATTTAAAGTTAAATGTAAGAAATTTATAAGATTTTTTTCTCCAATAGATACCTCACTTAAAAATAAAGCACAGCATACTTAAAGTAGTTCTAGTAGAAACATCCTACTAAAACAGTTGTGAAATCTAGAACATTTTAGGGAATTCAAGTTGTGAGAAGTAAAACATACTTGGCTTTTAACTATTCTGTTAAAAGAACTTGTTTATTCTGATAATTTTAAGCCAACATAGCAGTCTTAAGTTATTTCTGAATTTCTAACCTGTGAAGGCAGTAATTGAATTAACTTGTTCTGCGGTTGTTGAAACAAATTTTTGATTATATTGACTATAATTTGATTTATAATTTTGCCAATGATGTACAGTTTTATGATTAAAATTGCTGTGGTTGGTTGCATTACATGACATACAAAACTGTCCTCTACCTCACGTGAAATAAATATTTTATATGGTTTTACTAAAAAATAAGACTCATCTATCTGGTTACTTAGTTTATAAATTTGAATTATATTTATTGAAACATACTGTGCTCTTAGCTTATACCTCAATTGTATTTTGTGCTGTTTTCCATTTTCATGCCTTGTAAATAACTTGTATAGATTGTGGGTCAAATTCCAAATAAAAACTTTTAATGCCAATGAGATTTGATTGAAGTCATCTCAATAGCTTGTGTTAGCTTAACTAACCTTTTCTCCCTGTAAGATCTATTGCTCATTACATACTAAATCACATGAAAGGGCTATTTAATTATAAAATGTAAAATTATGTATATATTTCAGGTTATAAAATACTAGCACTTTGTGATCATTCTCTTTCATGACACTTGGACTTATGCTTAAGCATGTTTGCCCCAGCCATATTATAAATTACCTACTACTAATAAATCATCCCAAAATAGCATCTTAACAGGCATCTCGAAGTATCTGAGGGTCAGAAATCTAGGAGGAGGTTAATTGGGTGTTTTGGCTTAAGAGCTTTTGTAAGGGTACAGTTAGGTTGTTACCTGGGTCTGAAGTCATCTGAGTTTTTTTTTTCTTTGTTTTCTTTTGTTACCTGGGATCAAACTCAGGACCTTACGCTTGGGAGGCCGGTGGCAACACTGAGCTAAATCCTTGGCTCATCTGAGGAATTGACTAAGCTGAAAGACCTGTTTTTTGAGCTGACTGTTGGCTCTTAGGAAGAAGCTGTTGACATGGTGGTGTAGTGGCTATACTTAAGTGATCCAAAGGAAACTGATGCCATCGTTTCTTTGTGAGACTTGAGTGTATCTTATCACTTATCCTCTGTGAGAAGTGAGTCATCACAAATCCAGCTTATCCTCAACAGGCAGGGATTACTTGGGGTTTGGCTACCATGAGGTGGGGATCATTGGGAGCCCTTGTAGAGTATGGTTACAACATCCTGCACATCTTCATATTTAAATTTTCTTGTTATAAGATATATATTATATGTATTTATGTATTTCTTTGAAGAGCTGGAGATGTAGTTAAGTACAAAGGCCCTGGGTTCAATCTCCAAAAAAAAAAAGCCCCCAAAAAAATGCCATTTAGCGATTTTTAAATATACGATTTAGTGGCGTTACATGTACATACATTCAAAATGTTGTGCAACTGTCACCAACATAATTTCCGGAACTTTTCATCAACCTAAACAAATTACCTATTAACATATTTCCACCAGCTTGAACCACTAGTGGTACGTGCATGACTGTCCCATCAGGCGACTTGTACCACCTGCTGGGACCGATGCATGCTGCCTGATGGTCCAGTCAGTCATGTACCGCCAGTGGTTCAGACCTGCCCAGTAGCAAGAAATGAATTTTAGCCCCGCTGTGAAAATTTTAAGACAACGGCTTATTCTCTTTCCAGATTTTAGTTTCTATTTGCCTATTGTAGATACTTAACTGGAATAAAAACATTTGTCCTTCGGTTTATTTCATTTAACATGATGTTTTTAAGTTACATCTGTGTCGTCCAGTATATCAGAATGTGTTTCCACCTCTTAGCTGTGGTGAATAATGCTGTTAATGAACATCAGCTTGCAAATACCTACAGTATTTATTTATTTATTTATTGGTACTGGGAATTGAACTCGGGTCCTTTCATTTGCGAGGCAGGCCACCGAACCACTGAGCTAAATCCCGAGCCCACCTACAGTATTTAAATTACTGATTTTGGTGGTATATACCTAAGAGTGGAATTGATGGATCTAATGATAGCTCTATTTTAATTTTCTGAGGTGCCTCCAAACTTTCACAGAGCCACATCACTCACCTTGCCACTAAGAAGGCTAGGAGGCAGTTTTCTCTACATCCCTGCCAATGTTATTTTCTGTGTTACTATCAAATAATCCTAAGGGATGTTTGACATTATTTCATTGCTTTGACTTGCATTTCCATAGTGACTAATGATGTCAAGCATCATCTTTTCATGTGTTAATTGGTTATTTGTGTATCTTTGGAAAAATGTCTAGTCAAGTCCTTTGTCCAGTTTTTCCAAGTTTATTATTGCAAATCTTTTATTTTTATTAGTATATATTATACAGATAGTGGGTTTCATTGTGACATTTTCATATATGCATAGAATGTGCTTTGATTATATTCTCCCCATTACCTCTCCTTGCCTGCCCCTCCTCCCAGTACCCTCCCTCTTTTCTAATAGATTCCCTTTTAGTTTGCTGTCATCCTTTTCCTATCTTCACCATTTCACTTTACTTCTTCCCCACATATGAAAGAAAATATGTTATTTGTCTGAGTCTGGCTTATGTCACTTAACACGAATTCCAGTTTGACCCATTTCCTGCAAATGACAGAATTTTATTATGGCTGAGTAAAACTCCACTGTGTATATATATATTTTTTTTTCTTTATTCATTAATCTGTTGGTGGTGTGTAGGCTGATTCTATAACTTGACTATCGTAAACATGGCTGTGTGGGTATTTTTTTTAATAGTAGGCTGACTTTGATTCCTTCAGGTAAATAACAAAGGAGTGGTATAGCTGGATCATATAAATAAAAGCTTTGTTTTTAGTTTTTCAAGGAATCTTCATATTGATTTAATACTGGCTATATTAGTTTACATTCCCACCAGCAACCTTTTAGGATTCCGTTCCCTGCTGCCTCCTTATCAACATTTATTAGTTTTTGTGGGTTTTTTTTTTTTTTAGTTTTTGTGTTCTTGATGGTTTGCTATACTGACTGGAGTGAGATGGAATTTCAGTGTAGTTTTGATTTGCATTTCCCTGATGGCTAAAAATGTTGTGCATTTTTTGATATAGTTATTGGCCATTTGTACTTGAGAGAAGTGTTTGCAGTTCATTTGCCTACTTAATGATTAGATTACTTGCTCCTTTGGAGTGAACTTTTACCTTTGTGTATTTTTTGAG